CATTTGCCTTTAAAGCAGCTTAAAGGCCCTTTTGCACCTAACGAAGGACTTCTTATTGTCCTTGACTCCTGTGGCTAACCTAAACTCAGTCACCGCCTTGGCTTTCCTGATCACTTCCCTAAAAGTGCTGGCCACTAACATATAGTTCTCCTTGAGGACCGTCCATAGCTTCCACTGTGCATACACCTCTTTTCTTTAAGAGGACTGCAATGTCCCTATTAAGCCAGGAGGGCTTGCCAGCCCTTCTGCTACCCTTCCTTTTTGCAGGAACAGTTTTCTTTTGTGCTTCAAGGATTGTATCCTTGAGCAATAACCATTCTTTGTGCACCCCATTCACCTTCCCTTCCCGGTCCTGCATCGCCTCCACTACTAATGCTCTGATGCATCTAGGTCACAGCAAAATAAAACATGTCCAAGGTGTTTTCGTTTGCTACCTTACAGCCATGGAAGGAAGCACTGGGCCCCATGCAACTCATGGGCTGTGCAGGCAGCCTGGTGGCAGCTCATGCAGGCAGGCTCCACGGAAGGAAATAAAACAGTGGAGACCTGATCTTTTTTTTCCCTCTCCCTGGAAGCTGCCTGAGCTATGCGGGGATCCGGTGCTTTCCCCATGGGGTGGGGAGGAGTGCTTCCCTCCACAGCTGTGGTGCCCCCCGGGACTGCCCGGGCAGGGTACCTGTGGGTATTTTCCAGTAAGAAAGCATAAAGAGAAAACATACATATTCACTTCTGACTTAATCCACTTGCCTACTTTTTGGCTGCTGAGAAGTATGACACTCTTGCTTCCCCAATTCACTGGCACTTTAAACACCAAATGAATCAAACCAATTAAGAGATGACCATGGTTAAAACACAAGTAGCCAGACTCAAGACCAGGGTGCTAATTGCTGTAAATACTGGGAAAGCTGAACCAATCAATAGTTGCAGGGAATTTTTGCTACTGGAGGCATGGTTTAAAAAAGAAATGGCACTAATCTCAGAAATGGTTCACTCTGACTAACACTCTGTGGTTTGCCTATTATGCTTCAGGCCAGGGTTGACCAACTTTTGGCACAAGTGCCCCAAGTGGCATGGGCAGCCTATGTGTGGCATATGCACACAAACTTAAAGTTAAAAAAACAACACTAACATTTAAGCCCAAAGTTAGGAACACATCTGCTGGCATGACAGTAAAATAAAGGAACATGTCATAAACTAGGAGCATCTTCAATCCACTTCCAATATTTTAAACATTCTCTTTGTGCTGCTCCTCCTAAACCATGTTGCAACACTACTACATCCTATTAAACAGCTAACAAGTGGGCTGGTGCTAACTGAAGGACACTTGATTCCAGTATAAAGTCCTCCCGATGCACAAGGTATTCTGTATAATAATTAATATTCAGACAACAGACTTCCCAGAAATGTCAACAAATGTAGGACAATTTGAGTACTCATAAACCAGACCAAATCACAGATGTCAATCTCCAAGCAGGAAAGGGAGGGGACACGCAGGAGGCAAAAAAAGAGAAATGCACCTTCCAGTTGGACCGGAATAAACAGAAAGTAGGAGAGAGGGGGAAGAGTTGCACCTGATTCTCTCTCAAAGGAATAAATAGAAAAGTAGGTTAATCTGGTGAGCGTGCATATATTTATATGTATACAATATATAATATTTATATGTATTCACACACACACACACACACACACACACACACACACAGAGCCTGCGTTGAATTATATAGAGCCTTAAAGGAAATTACAGCAGAAACCAATGTATTAACTTTACTGAAATTCTTTTTAGGCTTCATTACATACCTCCTTGACTAGAAAAGCCTGTACACACACACACACACACACACACACACACACTATCAGTGAAATAACTCGTACATATGCAAGCATGTACATTACTGTACTGATAATACTGTCAGACTGCAATGTCCTAAAACTCTGCTGTGATGTGACTGATACTCTTTAGAATACAATGATACTAATTGGTATTGCTAACAGACGTAATATTCACAGATTCATAGATGTTAGGGTCAGAAGAGACCTCAGTAGGTCATTGAGTCAGGCCTCCTGCCCTGGGCAAGAAAGAGCGCTGGGGTCAGATGACCCCAGAGAGATGCTTGTCCAGTCTCCTCTTGAAGACCCCCAGAATATGGGAGAGCACCCTGCCCCCCCAAAGCCCATTCCAGATTCTGGCAACCCTTGCTGTGAAGAAGTTCTTTCTAGTGTCCAACCTAAATCTGCTCTCTGTCAGTTTGTGGCCATTGTTCCTAGTTACTCCAGGGGGTGCCCTAGTAAATAGAGCATCTTCCCTGCTGCCCTCCTCTGATGAATTTATAGGCAGCCACAAGATCACCTCTCGGCCTTCTCTTGCAAAGGCTGAAGAGATCCAGGTCCCTCAGTCTCTCCTCGTAGGGCCTTGCCTGCAGGCCTCTGACCATAAGAGTGGCCCTCCTCTGAACCCTCTCAAGATTCTTCGCATCCCTCTTGAAGTGCGGTGCCCAAAACTGGACACAGTACTCCAACTGCGGCCTGACCAGTGCCGTATAGAGGGGAAGCATCATCTCCTTGGATCTGTTTGTCATGCATCTGCTAATGCATGAGATAAAGTGCAGTTAGCCTTGTTGATCACTTCGCCACACTGACAACTCATGTTTATCCTGGAGTCAACTGTGTCTCCAAGATCCCTTTCTGCTGCTGTGCTGCTGAAAAGGTCATCCCCCAGCCTGTGAGTGTGTTGGTGGTTCTTTTTGCCCAAGTGCAGCACTTTGCAGTTGTCTTTGTTGAACTGCATCCTATTTTGTTCTGCCCATTTTTCCAACCTGTCCAGATCCGCCTGGATCTGTTCCCTACCCTGTGGTGTGTTAACTTTGCCCCATAATTTGGTATCATCTGTGAACCTGTACAGGGTAAACATTCTTCCATTCATATCTGGTCCTAAATGTAGGCAGTTTCACACAAAAACCTGTTTTTCACTGTCTCCCAGTCTTATCAGTTTCTCCAGGTGGGGTTTAGTGGGATTTGTGCTAGCACACTGATTGTGCCACTAATTCACCAAGTCTCTGCTTGAGCAAATACTTACTTTGTGTAAGTGCCTGAGTCGCCAAGAGTAACTGTACATAGAATAAATTCATCTTATACACTGGCCCCAATTTTAAATCTTGTTTTTCCACTAGAGATAAGGAGGGTGAAGCCATCATAGAAGAATGCACAAATGATGCAAGTGGGAGAAACACAAACAGGCTATGGAAGATGATATTACTGTAGGGCAAACGTAATTAAAAAAATCATTTTCAAAATTCAGACTGTGTCAAGTTACAGAGCACTGAAGGAAAGTACAGTAGAAACCTATGTATTAACATTACTGAAATTTTTTGAGCCTCATTACATCATTCCTTGACCCAAAAAGTTTGGTTAAATAAAATGCATGTAAGCAAGGTAAGGGACAAATCACTCTTTTCACACTTAAATGCATTTTTAGCCAAACCACATGTTTAAAAAAAATATATAAAAGAGGGAAAATTAGATTACAACTTTGCTTTTCTCAGGTAATTTCGTCCGCTACAATATGCAATCCACTCCTGACATTCTGTGACACCAGAAGCACAATTCGAAATCTAATTCTTGGAGATACAGAACTTCAAATGAAGAACAGTAAAGCTTATGCACTAACTCCTCAGTACTGTACAATGATACGCTGGTTTATTTGCAAGTATATAATGTGACTAAGCCTTAGGCTACAATGAAAAACTTGTCTGCTGCCAAAGCTCTAGTCTCTTTTTTCAGAGTATGAGATTAAGTGTGCCCATTCTTACTGGAGCACAGAAACAAACAGAAATATAAAAGCAGATCAATGGAGTCAGAACACCCTACTGACAAAACTAGTCACACACCCAAGTGCCTTCAGAAAAATGCCATCACTACTGACTGAACCACAGAAAGCAACAAGAGATACTGTTTCACAAAAACATCCAATTTTTTCACTTAGGGCCCTGCTACATGTTCAAATTAAATCTGGATAAAAAACAACTGGAGAGTTGCTACATATTTTCAAGCACTAACTTTTTATAGCCAGTTGGCTCTTTTTTATAGCTGGACAACCATTTTTATCATGTGATAACAACTTGGCACATACATATGGCTGGTTTAAATTTATTGTGCGATTCACCCGTTAACCTGCCACAAATGCAAAGTAACTATCAGACAGTTTACATTTATTGTGCAATTAAGCAGTTAATTGAATAACAAATGTAACATGTAGCAGGGGCCTTACTCTTGAATCTCTACATGTTTACTTTTGAATGAGTGCCTCAATGTGGCAGGAGACTTAATATCTACAACAGAAAATCCTGACGTGTCTGACAGTAGGTTTTAAATATTATTTTTTTCACTAATACAATCCAGTATTTAAAAAGGTTCTTCATTTTGTCTGGACAAGGTCAACTACTGAAAAATTGTTAGGAATATTATTGTATTTACTTTTCATTCCATCCAGGAAGAGCACACACCAACTGCTGAAACTTCCTTAGCCTGACGAAGGGTTTTTGAACTCGAAAGCTTGGTTAATAATTATTCTCCAACTATTTGGGTTGGTCTAATAAAAGATATCAAATTCACCCAAGGAATCTTGTCTGCCTATGTCCTTAGACCAACACGGCTACAACCTACACCCCTAGGAATATTATTGACATTAGGGAGTTACATATGTATGCTCATGGCAAGCAGCGCTGGTCCAGACAGCTTCTGTGGAAAAAGGGGGAAGGCAACACAATAAACTTACAATCACCAAATAATGAACTAGGTTTGACAGGTGATTTTGTTTTTAGTGCCTTAGACAAATAGAGTTCTTCTAGGATTGTCTTCATTTCAGCAGCTATTTACTGGAGGCAACATTTTATTGTTATTGCCCCCAAAGCCAGTCAGTCAAAATTTGCATAATGCCATTGCCACCACCTTTCACATGCTTTTCTCTACAGATAAAGGATTAAATAACATCAGAAAACACTTACCTGCATAGGGGAAACTGCAGCTGCAGGGGGTGTTTTCATGGGGCTTGGACTGAGCGGGGTGCGAGGAATTGTGGCTGTGGCTGGGCTTGGAACTATTGGGGGAAAAAAAAGTGGCTATGACATGCTCCATAGTTTTCAGTGAAAAAGACCATAAATGTCCACGTGTTCATATTAAATTCGACCCTTACATGATCACTCTGACAAAACAAACATTGGCTCATATTTAGCAGTACTAATTTCACAGAAAACAACTTGTAGGATTTTAAAAAATGCTCAGAACATGGCATCTGTCAACTACTAAAGCATGCCTGAATTGCAGAAGAAACAGCTGTATAAAATTACATTTAGCAGCTCATCACAAAACACTTCCCCCAAGCTCAAGTAGCTTTGCCTTTTTTACATGGGTGGGTTGAACACTTTGCTGCTTCTGAAGGTCAAGTACATTTTCACAAGCCAGGAAGTCCACTACTCCCCACACACTCTCATGCAATCCCTCAAGCTCTATACCTGCCAGGGCTTCTATGTACCCTTCTTTCTCCTCTCCTGTCCAGATAGTTGTGGGAAAAGAGAATCCCTATTCCCACTCTCCCACCATTGGCTTTGTTTCTTCTCTTATAAATCATTAAGCACATCAACATTTTTAAACTGCATGAGAAGATGAGCAGTGCAAAGATATGGAATCCTATTTGATTGGAAGGTGTCAACAGTTGTAAAGATGGTTATTATTTCTTGGTCTGCCAGATGCTTCCCACATAACCCATTTTCTTCCTTTCAGCTTTTCCAATTTTTATCAAAATCAGTATGAAGTCTACAAAGCCTAGGACATATAAAGGTCACAGAGTCACGACTGAGAATTCACTTCACTCTGCCAGTCAGCTGATTTTCTAACAGCATGACTAGCAGCTGATGTGACTCTGACAGGGGGAAGGGCATGGAAGCATTTTATGCGACTAAAGTGGCCAAAGCAAGAGTTTCTTTGTCCCAAGAGAAACAAGAGGCAAATGTTTTCTCGATTCCCTCATGTTACTTCCTCCCTGAATCAGAATTTTATTTTGTTTTGCAATTCCTATGAATCAAGCAACTGCAACTCCTAAGTTAGCAATGAAGAAGCGAAAAACTAGAAGTATAATAGAAAGAATGCAAATGTAGAAACATTACTAGCTGTAGAATCACTATGACTTATCAAATATGATGCAACATATGACAGGTCTTCAGGTAGAGAGCAATTCTACCTGTTCATCATTTACTTTAGGTCACAACGGCCTTAAAACAGATCTAAACATTTAAATGCAATATACAGCTACATGTTCCCCCTTCACACTACAGTAATTTAAAGTGACCTTACTATAAATGTGATTCACACTCAAAAATTGAGAAAACTAATGCCTAGTGCTTGCAATTTCTTTTTTGATCCTCAAGGAAAAACTATATATTGATCATAATCCTGCTCATTTTCAGAGAAGTGAAAGAACTAGACCCCAAGCCCATCTCTTCAAAAAAAGTCCTAATATCAGGGCATAAGACTAGGTTGGCTGTACATCTCATTTTATAAAGTCTTTTGGCACCCCAACATACCCCACTAAGGCAAAGAGGAGCTGAAAAAAAAACAAAAAACTTGGCTGCAGCCATACCATGGCTTCTAGGATGCTGAATTTGGAACCTCTATTAATTTCAGTAACTCATGGCTGGAAGCACAGCTGAGTGCACAATACATTTTATATCCTTAAAGTGTGGGAGTGCTGAATCAAAGGCACCTGTATCCAAATCACCGGGTAAGCAACAGTGCAGAAAAGTGACCACTGAACCCCTGCGGTAATGATGGAAAGAGATGAAAATGAGGGCCCCTCCTGACATGCAGGTAAAGGTACGGTGGGATCTAATATGTAATCCACACAACTGCACTTCCTGCCATGCCACATGTTTGTGACAGGAGGTGTGATAGTGGGATCATGCATCAGACACCATCACATCTTACTGCTGGTGAAGGGGGAGCCTAAGATCATAATCCTGGGATCCCTTTGCACCAGCAAGTAGCAAGCTCCTGTGGCCAGGAGTCTGTACACATGCCATGGGTCCCAGATAAACAGGTGACACCATGTGTCACGGCAGCTGGGTGTCCCGTGGAAATGCATGGTGTGCCCCAATGGCTAGGAGCTCCATCAGCTGATGGCACTCCCAGCTGTAGGGGTGCCCCTGACCTCACCTTCAATAAATGGTGTGATAGGAACCAGCCAAAAAGTTATTACACTTTTTTGTGGAATAACTTTGTGGCTTATTCCTCCTTTTATTATGCCATTAATTGAATGTGTGGCCACATCACACCTGGTTAATCATGTCTTAAGCATAAGTGTACCTAACAGTAAAGTATCACCAGTAACATGATTTCATTTAGAAGGGTTTGTTTAAACCCTTATTTGTAGGTCACAACAGCACAGTCAAGCAGCGGAATTCTGAATTGGCTAAAATAGCAGCAGGGTACCACATTAACATACACAAATCCTTTACTTTCTACAATTACTACATTAATTGAAAGTAATTACCTTGCGAGGCACTGTCAAAGGATTTGATGAGTGTTTTTACAGTAGGAGTTGGCTCTGAGGAGGTGGAGGACCTGCGACTCAGCCCCATTCCTTGTCTGAGCGCTGCCAGATCTCTCTCTACAGCATTCATATAATTGTATACTCGGCCACGTTCCTCTTCCTGCCTGGAAACAAGAGCTAGGCCATCTCAGAGACGCTGGGAAACAAATCTTTCTTTATGAGGAAAGGTCTAAATGTGAACCCAAGAACTGAGCTTATAACCCTGCTCTATATTAACCACATTTTCTATGTATTGTATTGAGTTAAATTACCAGCTTTGGATTTTTGGTCAATTTAAAATATTTGTCAAGTAAAGCCATTTGATGCAGTCCACAGATATGTGGCTTTGGCAGTGGGAGTGGTTGGCTGCAGGCACTCTCCCCATGCTGCTATGGGGAAAAGCAGCAGTGGCAGCTGAGTCCTAGTACCCACACTTCTCTGACCCAAACTGGATCACTCTGGCCTGCAACCTAAAAGGTTGTCAATTGCTACTAAAGAATATAGTATTGAAGAATAGGTTCATTTTCAAGCTGGATCACACTGCTTAGTAGGAAAGTCAACTGTAGCTGTTTTTCAGCCAGAATATTAACTATGCTAATTTATTTTATTCATATTGGTAGGAGAACTGTCAGTGCAAATTCAAACCTTGACTTCAGTAAGAGAACTGAAATACTTCAGTTACATATTTACACCTTAATAGATAGATTTCCTAGGAATAAAGATAAGAACACAAAAAATGCTATATATACAAAAAAAAAGCAAAACTGGGGAGAGCCAACTGGGAAAAAACGAACTGTTTTTCCCCTCTAAAAGGTACAGGCAAGTAAGCAACTAGCGCTTGCAAGAGTTGCTGCTTCCTTTCCATGTCCTTTTCAGGGAAGTTGACCCAAAGTCAGTGCTGCTTATATGCAAAAGTGCCAAAACCAGTATATTTCCTCTACTGGAGGAAAAGAAGTGTGATCTGTATAAGCCAGAACTAAACAAAACAATATCACCCAACCAAACAGGCTTGCCAGTTTTCCCAAAGCGGTATCCAAAAATATGCAGAGATCAGAGGCTGATATGCTCAGTCCTCAGAACAACAGCTTCTTGCTCCATAACCTTCCAAAGTCTCAGTAACAGCTAAGCAATTAACCTCTGAAATGGCAAAAAAAAAAAAAAAGCATAACTCCCAATGTTTAACATACTTGCGAGATTTTATTTCTTCTAGCTCCTTAGTGAGCTTCTCATTTTTCTCCTGAGCTTCATGCAGTCTACGCTTTAAGTCTCCTATCTCCTCCTGGGCTTCAGATTTGATATCATTTGCTATGACCACTGCAGTCTGTAGATCAGCTTGGAATTGGCGCCATTCAGCAGACTCTTCCTATAAACAAACCACATTTTAAACTGCTAGCAACAATGAGAAATCTCAAGTCAAAAAAGAAGCACTTATGCACCATTCCACTGCATCATCAGAAGGAATGATTTAAAAGTGATGTTACTGCTGACAAATAAAAACGGCAGAAAAGTAAAATGCTACTTAAAGTGTAAAAATTAAAGTACAGCTCTGGGGAAAAAAAAGGTTCTTAGCAGAAAGTCCTGAAATTTCTTTTCCTCTAAAAAGTAAAGATATTTATTTAAAGAATACTGTACACCAGACAACACAAAAAATGGTTTATTTACTGCACATATGCTCTTACAGTTCCATCTGTCAGTCCCTGCGGCCTAGTAACTTTATCCCAAGATGAAGCCCCTCTCCTCAAAATAAGTCATTTTATCTGCTTTTATAAACAAAGTATTGTTCCCTGTTCCACTCATTAGTAAGTCTGTATTTGCCTTTGATACCTGTTAACATCAGCAACATTTTCTAGAAAGCAGTTCCTACTTGAATGTGCCACGATCCCAGTTCTTTTCATATAACTTTGAAACATTTCTGGTAGGTTTTCAAAGCAATGCAAGAGTAATATAGATAAACTACACTCAGCTGTTACATATTATGTATTTCTTGCTGCAGAATGTCTTGCATATCACTCCTATAGCATCCTTCTCGGTTTAGTCCTTACTGATGCTTTGGGTTTTAGCTTTAACCTACCCGGAGCCTCCTGTGAAGATTCTTTATTTCTCTCTCCATATCATGCTTTTGGTCCTGAAGTTTTTTAACTGTATCTGGAAAGAGAAGTTAAATTCACTTTAAGACAAAAATCTTACTGAAGGATCTGTTTGCCTCCGAAAAAGTAACTGAAGCTCCTTGCTAAAAATCTCTTTCCAAGCTCTCTTCCCCTCCCCCTCTTTATTTCT